CTTTGGACTTTCTCAAGAATGCTTAGATCTTTAGAGGTCCAGGGTTTCCACGCCTGAATAGCGAACTCTAGCTGTGGCTGTACGAAAGTCCGAAAGACTTTAACGAAGCAGTCCTCATCGAAGGTAGAGAAAGCTCTCTTGACAAGATAAAGGACTGACATAGCAGACTTGGCTACCTTGGAGCAGTGGAGCGATGGTTTTGGAGAAGCCGTTACCCACACACCCAAGTCTTTCTGGGCGTCTACCTCCTGCAGTGGTACGCCATTTAGGTAGTAAACCCTCCGGCACAGAGATCGGGTCCTGCCGACTCGCAAGACACTGTACTTAGTCACATTAAACGGCAAAAGCCAGTCCTGTGACCATTTCTCGAGTCGATGTCCGATTAAAATCCATTATATACCGCAACATCCAGGCCAGTCCTGCCCGCATTTTTCTTTTATTATTTTTTATCGAGGGGATTTTTTCTCCAGTAAAATTAATCCAATCCTTTTTTAATTTTCATTTGAGGTTTTTTCCACTCGTCGCTAATCATTTTTCTTAGCGGACTGCTATTTAAAAAACTATGAATTGCACTCTGTACAGATCTTGCCTACCACGTCTAAAATGCGCATGTAAATTTATTTTTACTTGCTTTGATGTGCCCCGACGGGTCTTTAATAAAAATTATTATTCTGCCTTCCATCTGTTATTCTCTCGCGGAAAGACAGGCAATTATTGGCTGTATCTACAATCCCCCGAACTCTTCAGCCAGTGATGGTTCACAACTCTGTACAATCATTAAATTAATTTCGGAAGCTGCGTTCGATGTCAAAATAATCACTGAGGATTTTAACATTCCTGAAACAGACTGGCTTTTCAATATCTCTCCACCTAGACTCTAGCCCTTCCAAGATATTTTCAGTTTTTATAAGTGGTCTCAACTGGTGCTCTCTCTAACGAGTGATAATCACATTTAGATCTAATCTTGACCAATGGCACTGTCCCTCTTTTTTTGCTTCCAAAATGGACCTCTTCGACAGTGACCACGTATTAATCATTGTTGCTTGCCACTTGCCTTTTCAAAAAACACCGGCACCTTTCGGACTTACCTAAACTACGATTGCGTAGATAACGACTTAGTAAATATCTATATTATATCATTGGATTGCTGTGGCTTCCTCTCCCGTAGCGATGCAACCATTTTTTGGGATGTCATGTCCAATGCTTTCAAGGACATCCTAGAGTTTGTGCCGGGTAAATATCTTAAGTCTTATTCTTCAGATTCCCTTGTTCCTTATTTTTTTCCTAACAGACTAAAACGTTGAGACGGCGGCTGCGTAACCTATCCACTAGTTCTTTATCCGCTAATCTTTGAATCACAGAGATTTTTGAAATGGCCTCAAGGATGCGCCAAGCGCGCGACAGGCAAGGAGAATTAATTGCCCGCAGTGATCCGAACCCTGGCAAATCCGTCGCCAAGGTCTTCCGTCAGCGCTCCTCCACTAAGCGTGATCACGAACTTCCATCCTTGCTAAATGATAACAAAATCTTCCTCATCGATGACACTGACAAGGTGGAGTTGCTTAGTGACAGTGCCCAAGGGGCGCTATGACAAACCTATTCTTTTTTATTCTAAAACACCTTAATACTGAGTCCGAACCAGTTCCTTTATTTCGCTCACTTTCAGATAGAACACTGAGTACAATCGATGTCTCCTCCGATCTCATTAATAAACACATAAGTCGTTTGAAAAACTCTCACTGCTCAGGAAGGGACGGGATTCCAAATTCGCTTATTAAACAAAAATCCGATCTTCCCATATTGCTAAATCATTTATTCTCGGTTTATATTTCAAAAGGATTCTTTGCGTAAACATGGAAAACATCAATCATCATTCCTGTCTTCAAGTCAGGATCTCGGTCCGATGTTAATAAATATCGGGGCGTGCATAAAACGCCGTCTCTGGAAAAGCTTATTGAAAGGATAATTTTCAATGAAATTCTTGACTGCTGTCTAGCTAATCGGCTTCTGAGCTCTAATCAGCATGGATTTTTACCTGAACGGTCCTGAAAAACTTGCCCCTTGACCTTTCTTTATATAATCACTTCTCTTCGTAATAAGCAGCAGTCATTGATAGTTATCTACTTTGATCTTAGCAAAGCCTTTGACAAGCTGCCCCATAGACGTCTTTTGGTAAAATTTAAAGCTCCCGGCATCCGGTTGTAGATAGGAAATCTGTGAGAGACGCTGTCGAGTGCCCTCCTGAAGTCAGTGTATATGGCATTTCTAACCCGACTGGGCTCAGCGATATTATTCTGAGCTAATACTGGAAGTATTTTTATTTATACACCAATTCGCAGTTGCTGTCTCTGATTATGCTACTGGAACAGTGCGTACAGAATTACTGTCTGCATTTCTGAAAGTTTTTACGCGTTGAAATTCGTCTGGGAACTTAGTAAAGCACGATTTGTTTATCCTGTCCGTCGTCCTTGTCAGTACATGAAAAATTGAAATAAGGGGCACCGCGACCACTAATAGTGTCTGCTGGTGCAACGCTTGTCCGGATCGAATGTAGGCAAACCTGAGAACCATGTCCTAGAGGATCTTATTTCTTCTCATGTCTATTAAATTAAGTACTCTAGCCAGACGTGGGAATAAAAGTCCTGAAAGCAATCCTTGACGGTTAATGAGTTATGATAGCACAGTAGCACCACTGCCTCGTCCTCCTAGAAGGATTCTGATGGGCAAATGAGGAATAAATTTGATCCTGTCCAAAAAACAACCTCAGAAGTTCGCATAAACAAGTTTTTTCGGCCGGAATGGCTGAAACGCCGGAAACTTGTCTCGGAATAAAATTCAAGACTGAAGGATGGCAAGCACAGCCTGATCATCTTTAAGGGAAAAGTAGTTCATAAAAATCTGAGGCCTTACTCTAATCACCCAGTAATATTAAGGACGACGACAGCGCCGCAGCTAACGCAGACGTCGTCGTCGAACCAGCCGCTCGAAGCGACAGTACAACTAAGCCGTTAACTCTCGGTGTTCTTACCTAATAATCCGAAGATACTAAAACTCGCTTGGTAGCGGAACAGAACAGTAAAAATGACGTCCCCGACAACGCAGTAAGGTCACAACAGTGACAAACGCGCCTACAAATTTGACCGGCGCAAAGTTGGGGTGCTTGTTTATTAGTGCCCACAGCCTCAGATCGAAAACGAATAAGGTAACAAATTTGTCTGACCGAACTCTCTCTAGATGTTATAGCAGCCACAGGAACCTGGCTGTCCTGGAACACTAGGGATTGCTAAATAACATGAATAGGATCCCAAATACATCGGAGCGACAGCGTACACCGTCGGGTCGGAAGCATAATCATCACCACCGACGATATGGCATTCTCTGCCATACATCAAGGGTGTTTCAGAAGCGACCGAGAGCATTGCTGCGGAGCTAGGTGTTGGAATTGCACACCGCCCCAAAGCCACCATGCGCAACATGGTCTCGAAAATCAAAGACCGGTTAAAACCTGAAGAGCAATCTGGAGTAGTGTATCGCATTCCGTGTCAGAATTGTCCTTGTAACTACACAGGACAGACTGGACGCATGCTCGGATCGCGCATGCACGAACATAAGCTGGCTGTGCGGCGAGGCGACTCATTGTCACAAGTGGCCGCCCACGCCTACGAAATGGGTCACGAGTTTGACTTCGCAGCCACCAAAATAGTCGCCCACGCCGGAAACAAAACAGGCCGAGAATTGATTGAAGCCTGGGCCTCGGATGAGAACTCGGTCAATCGGTTTATCGATCTGGCGCCGGCATACAGAGCCCTTCGTAGTCACCTCCAGTCGTGCGACATCAGTCGATGATTGGGCCTATGTGCCTTATAACTGCCGCTTGTCCTGTTTCTGCCACTTCCTCTGACGACAAACTCCTGTACGAGTCTGAAAGCTCAGGATAATAAACGAAGTGTTCCGGGGCTCGACTCTTCTTCTTCTTCTTCTTCAAATATGCATAATCATGTGTGTGCAGGAAGACCTGATGGTGTCGGAAAAAACCCACATTTGCATGTAGCAAGAACGATATTTCTTTGACCATCGAGGTTAACAATCCCCTGTGTCTCAATGTCCTCACTGTCCACCGACCACCTGGAACAGACCAACACTTATCTGTGTAGGAACGAATACGTTAGCAGACTGATAACACGGAGTGCAAGCATAATGTGGGCATAAACAGGTCCGAATTATGCCAGCATGCTCGTGGTCAGTTTGTACCAGCCTTCTGTCATTAAACCTGCACGAACACGTCGGAATTCTGCCAGCAGTTAACTTTTAGGTAGGATATCAAATGCTTTGGAGAAAGAAGACCAGAATTGAGGGTTGCGCAGAAATTGAAAGGTCTGTTTGTTTGGGTCAGCGAACAGAACAAGCGTTGATGTAAGTCAAGGTGTCCGTTGCATGTAAAATGACATATTTAAAATGAATACAAAAAAGTTCAGATATGCAAGAAAATGCGCAAACAAAAGTGGAAAGTGTACGTAGACCAAAATGACTTACCAACTCCATAGGGTTCAGAACAAATATAGTCCACCACGCCCTAAATCGCGATGTTTTTGCGCTGATAATGTCCCTGGAGCTCAAGAATAAAGGCATACAGTTGGGATTTTTAATTTACGGGAGCCTGGTGCTTTGTAACCTAGCCGGGAATGCAGGACCATGCCTCCAAAATTTGTGACCAGCCTAAATTAAGTTATTAACGTTAATATCCCCCCAGACCTGTAGATGCAGTGTCTCTGCCTCTTCCGACTCCACTCTACCGACAGTCAGATATAGCATAAAAACTCTAACGTACTGAACCCAGCGAACAGAATCAACAGAACACTCACAATTCCGACTACATCGTCGTCAATACAAACAGGCCCAAAATGACCTTGAGGGCAGTGTGGCATTTGTGCGAAAGTACGCCTCGCTCCACCTGTAATGACATAAATCAGATCTTTTTGTTACAGACGGGAGTTAATGACATGTACCGCTATCAGTTTTTGCGAGAATTGGGTGACGGAACGTATGGTTCCGTCCTTCTTGCCCTGTCCATAGAGACGAAAGAGAAGGTGGCCATCAAAAAGTAGGTTTACGAGAGTTATCTCCATGTAAACAGAATGAAGAAGAAATACTACTCATGGGAGGAATGCCTTAACTTACGTGAAGTGAAGGTAATTTGTTTCGCAGCAAGTTAGCTCTTTTCAGTCGTTAAGAAAGTTGAATCATCCTAACGTTATCAAGCTTAAAGAAGTTGTTCGGGAAAACTATCTACTCTATCTTATCTTTGAATTCATGAATCAAAACATGTATGAGTTAATGCGGGAAAGGTAAATATAATCGGAATACAATACAGCTGGCACCCCTCTCGACTTGCACTGTGTTGTCTGCACGCCCTCTTGATAGTGTCTCCGCACCATCACTGCCTTCAGAATTCTGCACTATATCTGCTACTGATCTGTGTATTATTTTGGATTATCTGAGAAATGGGTCTCACATTTGGTAATACTGGCCTCACATGGTTGCCGTTGTCACATGCCTGTGCAAATCTCGTAAGCTGTTGGGTTCGCACACCCTTACCAGTTAGCGTAGAATTTCGTTCAAATTCATTTCGGCCGAAATGGAAAGCCAAGTGATTAGGCCTTGCCATTTAGTTAATTCTGTCATTCTTCACGCATATTCAGCAGCACCTCGATCTTCGTTAATGTGTATTTGTTTCGTCAAGTTGCACTCACCACCTGTATTCTGTTTACATCATTTTCTAAGACACTTAAACGGTTGGAGCATCCGAGCATTATAAGATTGAGGGAAGTCATTCGGGAGAAGGACGAACTATTCTTTGTTTTCGAGTACATGAAGGAAAACCTCTACGAAATGATGAAACGCAGGTTCAGCCAAGCGTTTTTGTGTTATCTGTTTCCGTCGGATTCGTTCCATTATGTGCCCTAGTTTGGTCTCCTGACTTAGTGCTGTTTATATCTGAGACGGTTGCTTCCATTTAGGACCAAACTGTTTTCCGAAGATTCGGTGCGAAAAATAACATGGCAAGTCTTGGACGGTCTAGCCTACATGCACAAGAAAGGTGAGCCCATGGTTCTATATTTTGGACCACTGCGCCTTATGTTCTCTATTAACCATTTCGTGGCTTTTTCAGGGTTCTTTCATCGCGATTTAAAGCCAGAGAATCTGTTATGTAACGGAACAGATACAATAAAGTTGGCGGACTTTGGGCTAGCAAGGGAAATCCGATCTCAGCCTCCCTACACCGATTATGTGTCAACACGATGGTAAGAAAACTTTATTTGGGAACCTATATCTTTCCTCCCTTATACGTTTTTTTTATTTCCCCCGGCAACCATTTTGTCGATCACGAAAGTCAAGATGCATGCGTTGTCCAAGAGCGTTTTTGCCAGTCTTAATGGTTTTCATCTAGGAAATGGTGGCTAACGCTGATTAAGGCCATGTCAAGTTTTTTTGCTTTTGGTAGGTATCGGGCCCCGGAGGTGCTTCTGCGGTCATTGAAGTATAACTCACCAATCGACCTGTTTGCAGTCGGCTGTATCATGGCAGAACTGTACACACTCCGTCCTCTCTTTCCCGGCGACTCCGAAATCGACATGCTATACAAAATTTGCTCTGTTTTGGGGACCCCCAGCCAGGTACATTTTTTAAAAATCGGTTAACTTTTATCTCTAAGGTTTCCAAGTGTATTTGCCGTTGTTTCAAACTCAGGCACCACTTTCAATAGTCTCAACAATCTAACTACTTTTGCCTTATCATTTAAACAAAGTGCCATAGAAGGTCAGACCGCCACTGATGCTGTAAAACTGTGTAGTGTGATTAGGAAAACCAGTGTGATATGTTTTAATTTTGATACTTCTTGAAAGTTCGATTCTTCGTGAACTCTGCCGTACGCATTTAGTGATCACCTTCAGCATTGTCCGAGTATCTATAAATTGCTTCCGAAAATTTATATTCATAGGAGGTTTACCGAATTTTCTCGCGTTTGCACGAGTTTTCCAAACCATTATAAGAACAAAGGCCTACTAACTGCCCAAGGATTATAAGTTGACCGAAACTTAGACCTGTGCTCTGCTTCCGTCCGGCTCTTAACATGCTCCCATTGTCTTCTATGAAGAGACTAATTGATCTTTTATACTTCCTTCAGAAAGAGTGGCCTGAGGGTTACCAGCTCGCTGGTGCGATGAATTTCAAATTTCCGAAGTGTCCTCCGATTCCTCTTGGCAATTTGATCCCAAATGCCAGCCCAGAGGGCATCAGTCTGATGTGCGATCTCATCTCCTGGAACTCCCAGAAGCGCCCTACTTCCCGAGAGGCAATCACACCTATTTACTTCCTTGAAAACTGACTGCATATACGTTCCTTTAATTGTCTACATCCATTTAATTCGCACTTATGTACGCATGTACTATTGTCTCTTATGTGCCAAATTTCTAGTTTCTCTGCGATAAAGACAGTTGTTCAGTAGAAACTACGAGAACCAGGTATCACTCAGTCTCCTGAGGCGATTTTGGACACTCTTAAGTCTTGTGCTTAGTAGACTAAGTTCACCTTTTATAAATATTTTGTGACATCGAGGTCCTCAGATTTCGTCACTCAGCTTGCGCGACACGCTCGCCCCGTTGCGCTTTGGGCGTCTCCCTAGAACCCTATAGGCGGTCGCTTAGCGAAAAGTAATTACTTAGGAGGAACACCGACAGAAATGGCCGTCCCAGTCACCTTTGTCTTTATCAGTACTGCTCCTTAATTTTTCTGGCATCCCAAAATTCTTTTGATTGTCTTTTTTCGATGAAACAAGCCTCTGTAAACGTTTTCGCACGGAAAACAGCTTATTAGTGCTTACTTTCCATGCGACCACAAACTACGTTGTTTTGCCTCGTGGTCAAATCCAAAAAGTCTCAAGAATTTTTGTTTTCTAGTAGTTCGGGTGTGTTTTCGCTCCCTAAGTCTGTAGATTTCGGAAGAAGTGTACCTTTTTAGTTCTATCGGTGCGCTCATTAGCCTCTCTTGTATCCGCGGTTTCCGACAATGCTCGAAAATGGACAGTTGGTTAGGCGCTTTTTGATTAAATCAGATCCAAACTGAGGAACTTCCAAGCGACCACAGTCACCAGGTAGCCTTCCTTCGTTTTTCAGCAAGGTTGAAGCTGCTATCCTGTACCAAATAATACTTAGGTTACCAGCGTACCAGTGTCTTCAGTCCTCTGACTGAAGGAATACTTGTCGTTAGGCGGGAAATGTTTCCTTTCTGCGTCGTTTGCTCTCAAAAAGTCCGACCAAAGCGTGTGCGGACCAGGACAGTTCCGTTCTCCAAAACACGGTCAAGCTGCGGCTCGCCGTGCAGTGTTCGTGTGAGGCGTGGGACTGGGTCTTCTGACCTAGGTAATCCGTCTGCCAAATTTATGACAAGTCGCACCTAAAGGTATTTCTGCTGGCTGATCCGCGACCGCTTGTTCGCCAGTCTTGGACGTCTACCTATTCCGCGGCTAACCGTCACTGAAAGCTGATCCACCATCCGCCATCTGTGGATGCTTTGACTGCCCCGCAGTTGGGTGAGCAGGCAGGCTTCTTCGTCTTTCCGATGCCCCTATGTTGTTGGTGACGACAGTTGTGATCTTTTGCTTTTTGAAACCAAAAACGGTCTGTGTTTATTCCCCCCTTGCTTTAGGCAATGAAACGCGCCTACTTCAAGCCTTATCATGATAGCCTCCGCAATGTGGACAAAGTCGCATGTGAGCCAGTCGACACGGAGAACGTTTGTCCTCTCGAGGTGACTGAGTCCGGCGAGCAGGTTGCTGCAGAGTTGAAAAAGAACAATAGTCGGCCTTTTGGTCAGGAATCCAGCGGGGACCCCAAGAAACGTTCCTCCTTGACTAAACGTAAATCTACTGTGGGTATTGACAGCACGCGAAAACGCAGTCTCGCGGCCCGGAACGAGAACGGTATGTTTGCTTTCACCTGGTTTTTTATTGATCAAATCATTCATAAAAACGGCCTTACAGATGAAGAATGTTTATGGGACACTCAAGGCTTGTTCCTAAGTTGGCGGACCATAAATTGAGTAGTTAAGTTTGCTTGCAAGGAGTGCATGTGGGGGCATAGGCTTGGGGTAATTTATAAGCCGTGGTTCATTGGCTTTTGCCCCTAGAACGGATCATGCGGTAGATGCACTGGACCAACACAGGGGCTAGTTCGGGGTCCGGCAGGCGTTACTGAGAACGCGCACCCCATAGCAAATGCCAACATTAGGGGTCCAACCCAGCATATACAGTCGTACAAGCGGATTTATCATATGGAAACCCCGTATATGTAGACCTTTTTGGAGGTTAAAAAGTCACAGTGAGTCTACAGACGCCTTCGGAGGCTTGCAAATCCTTGAAACTATCGTCAATTTTATAATTAATGAATTAACCGACTGATTTAGTGATCTGTTCCACCCGAGACGCTGCGCTCTACTGATGACAATAGGTTGGCGGTGGAAGGGCGATATCGACAACGCAGTCCAAATTAATCGGCCTGCGTCCCTTCACCAGACCGGTCAGTGCGGCAGTTAAACAAGTTGGTCAACAGGATGCGGCCTTGCTGAATGCCACCTCAGATCTCGTACGGCCTGAGAGTTTGTGTTTGACAGTAAGCTAGTACTTGTAGACATAAGCTTAATTTAGCTCATATTGAAGTCATTCTAGGTGTGTTTGATTTCCATCATGTGACAGGCACGCCTAGGTGCAGCTTCGGGCGTGCCAGCCCCCTCATTGTTGTTGGTTAAAAAGCTGGTCATTTGCTGTGTGGAGTGGAGCGCCAAGGCGTGAGCTCGACCGTGCCATCCACCTGCGCCCTCCTCCGCCCCCGGTCTTCTTGAGTCGGTCTTGACACCGGCTCCGGGTGGAGGAGGAGAGAGTGCGGTTGATGCTACGCAAGTTTTGCTATCCCTATAAACTGACTCACGCGCAAGTCGCCGTCTCTGCTCCATCTTGCTGTGGGCACGGTGGACATCGACGGAAACGACGGTCAAACTGTCATCATGTGATCACGTGACAGGCTGCATTCAACGGTTTATTATCACGTCTCACCGCCGTCTTTTACACTTTTATTCGTTTTCCTCGTTTACAAACTGTTTGTCCGGCGTACTTCGCGGAGCAACCTCCACACCCAATAGCTGACTGTTGACCTCTTGTAAGTCTGCTTTGTGATTCAATAAGATCCGAGTCGGCCTTAAAGAAGTCTGTCAAATGTAGTGGGGACCGGGTCGTGTGCGACACGCGTGAACTGGCTGTTTAACTCTGTCAGCCGCTACCCCCGAGCCCACTACCGGTCGTGTTGATGTTGCCTTGCCACGGGAGCAGGATAAATGAGGGATGAGAGAGTGTGATAGATGCTGCGCAAGTCACCGGTTCTGTGCCCACTCCCTGAGGCACGCAGTGGATGTCATTCACGACAGTGAAACGGTCCTTGATCTTCAATGCGCTTAACTTGTAGGCAGGTTGCGGAGTCGAGTTGGTGGGCGAGGCCAAGACCTAGGTCTTTCATAACGTGCTTGATGTGCGGCATGAAGTTCAGATGTCACCCCATCCAACCACGCTTTCACATGCATCATGTCTGTTTCGTACTGACACTTTGCCCCCTCCCTCATTGATGTTTAGGTGGCAAGGAGGTTGTTCGATCGAGTCCACCGGCGAAGAACAAGACAAAGCCCCCTCCACTGCAGCCCACGACAGTTGCAGATCCGAAAGTCGTGGAGCAGTGTCAACCTCCAGCAAACAGCGTTCTTCTGCCCGGCGGTTCCGGGGACGAGGTAACCCCGCCGTTTGAACAGCCGATGCTCGGCACCGCGCTGGATGACCTTGAGGCTACAACGAAAGCATTTCGGAGTCTCTACAATCAATGGGATGTCCGCCAAGCAAAGACGGTTGAGTTCCCTTGAGACTGCTATTGGTCTTCCTTATCAAAACCGATTGCATCCTACACCTTTCTTTGACATTTACTTCAAGAAGATTCGCACGTCATACTAGCGCGGCCCAAATTCTCATTTCTCACGCCTCCTCTTGTAATTGTAAACTCTTTTGCCGCATCTTCGCCGTTGCACGTTCTCGAAGCCTAAATACTCCCTCCGCTAGCTTCTTATGTCCACACAGCGCATCCCCACTGGCCTAGAGGTTACTTTCATTTGCCCGCCCTTGACTGGCCGAGGTCAGTTCAGTTGGATCACTGTGGGCGGTCTCCGTGAGCCTATTCAGGGCTGGTAGAAATTAAGCTCTCTATTTACTCAGTGGCAATTATTTTTGGTGGAAATGCGAAGTTCGGAGGGCGGAAGATTCATGCGTCCTGAGAGGCAGATTTGGAAGAATATCCAGTAGTGGCGTAGCTGGCGGGCACTTCCTAATATCTCAGTGGTCATGGACATTCGACTGGTGCTCAAGGCGTCCGCGGTTTAAATTTGTTCCAGACTGCGTGTGTTTTGTATCTTTACGTTTTACATCAAAACCTAGCTGCGGGCTAGGTAAGAAGAGTGATCGGGCACCATCCCGTCACAGGTTTCGACGCCACAGTTTGCCATACCACTCTGGGATATCCGAGCACTTCACTCTCTCCCCCCTTCCTTACCCACCCCACATTCTTGTCAGATCATGATTAGACCTGGAGGAAAAAAATTAAAATGACAGAGTGGCGGCTACAATCGGCGATGAGCTAGTTAGGGCTTGCGACAGTGTGGGTGTTCCATAGCGCGACTGACCGACGACGGAGTCCCCAGACCCATGTGCTCGGATTTTAATTTTCTGAACGGATTCTCACTTCTAATAAAATTTTATCTGTCTTGCTGTTGCTACCCGCCACCTCTTCCCATGGAACATACTCGCAGACGACTTAGTCTGAATTTCCTCTTTTTTCTTCGATCCCTCCTACCAGGAACCGGCACCCAGCAGTCTGAACAACTCCAAGACGGCGTCTAAATCGAAATGGTTGGGTTTCCAAGGCGCTGATACATTCGCCGACCTTGATTGTCAGAAGCCCGCCCCTGGTCAGACGCAAGTTCCAAAGGTCCGTTCTTAATTGAGCTCTGTTTGATCCGTCTAGATTTCAATCCTTTTCTATCCCGCTCAGCAGTTGGCGAATTTCGCAGAAAGCCTAACCCCAGAAATGAATTTGAGGAAATTCTTGGCTCATAGATGTTTTGGCAGATTTTGAATAATTCATATTGACCCAACTGTGAAAAACTCGGCGCCTCGGTGGGATTCGAACCCACGCAGTAAGGGCAAGGCTTTAGTACAGCCAACGCTCCAACCAATTGAGCTACGAGGCTCCGCCGGACGACGCGAGTTTAATCACATTTGGGTCAAGTTTACGCGCCCAACCTACTGCAACGTCTGGAATCCACCAAATCTGATATTGTAAGTTGACCGCAAAAGCAGGATTTCCTAAGTAATTCACTTAGAATCCACCAGATGACTACCAGGCTTACGTAATTCTAGGTGAATTACTTAGGAAATCCTGCATGGGCAGTCAGCTTACTGTATCAGATTTGGTGGATTCCAGACGTTGCAGTAGGTTGGGCGGGTAACTTGACCCAAAATGTGATTAAACTCGCGTCGTCCGGCGGGGCCTCGTAGCTCAAGTGGTTACAGTGTTGGCTGTACTAAAGCCTTCCTCTTTCTGCTTGGGTTCGAATCCCACCGTGGCGCCGAGTTTTTCACCGTTGGGTCAATATGAAATTCATGACGCCATGAAAGCAACCATCACTCGGCCGCAGCGATACTTCATTACTGGGGTTGTAGTATATCGTTCTCTCTTCCCCTGTCTCTCGTCTCCACCATCACGCCTGTTATGCAGCGCGCTGCCGTCCTATTTTTGTAGAACGACGTACCTCGCCTCCCAAACGGTTCATTGGAAACGCTGCACCAGTCAGCCTTGAAGCCTCCAAACACTGACCTCACAATTCGGGGCCAGAAGCCGCCATCTGCGAGTCGCAAGCTGCTAGACACTGACACCAAGGTGGCCGATGAGCTGGAGCAGGAATTCTTCCGAGTGTTTGGGGAGGCCCACTCCACACCTGGTCAACGCCGACCTCGACGCTCCCAACAGACGACACATCGGCCTGACCCCCTGGGTGTTCATTCCCTCAAGCACGAACCAGACGATGCCGGCGACCTTATTGGGTGAGTGTTTACTCCAAACTTCTTATCTGTGGCATTTTTTCGGTCAGCCTCTGGCGCCGTCAGTGTTAGCTTCGATCTTTGGGCTTTATTGACAGTCTGCTGGCCGACGCGCTCACTCAGAGACAGGCCTCTTTTGCCGATCAAACCGGTAATTCAGTACGCCAAATTGTTGAATGCTTTGAAAAATCCCAATTTATAGGTCAGTATATGTTAAGGGTAATAGGCAATGCCCTTGAAAACCCTATTGTAAACGGTACATGCAATATATAACTTTAAATAAACACGGTACTAAAATGTTGTCAGTAATATATACACTTAACAGAATATTTGCATTGAAAATGCAGGACCGAAACTCGAGAACATTTAGTTGTAGATGATATCGGTAAAATGCAGTTTAATCAATGAGGATGCTGAACGGAATTGTATCGGGTTTTTATCGGCCTCGGGGACAATTTGGTCGTTGCGTGAGCTGCACTGATGACCGGATCACCCGGTAGCCCGGCGATTTCAAACGACAAGGTCATCTACTGTAGTTGGGTCTTCCGTCTTGTTCACATTTCACACATCCCCTCTTCTAGGCTCGTCCCGTCCGTCAGCCCTTCGAGTTATTGGTAGAATATATCTTTAGGCTCTCGACGTGGGGGATCGGAGCTTAGTCGCCATTTTGGTGATCTGATCCTGGACTGTCAGACCGCACAAGCTATGCCATACGTGTCGACTTGGCGACAAACACTACTGTGGAAGAGCGAATGAGATCCGTCGGTTTCGTCAATTTGGAAATTTCGGGTGGTCTTGCTTATAGTGACGTTTACGAGTGAAATGCACCAATCCGATTCCGTCTTGCAAAGATTACTGGCTTTGAATAAATGAAACTGTTGTAATAAAGCCTTTTTAAACGAAATATGTACCATAGGAATAAGCGAGACGGAGGCCCGTTCATGCCACCTTGCGACAATTCCGGAGACTAATTTTCCGAAAACACTGCGGATTAGAATTTCGTCATTGATTATCTTATTCTCCAAAAAAGGATCTATGGGCTTAACACGGACACACCGACAGTTTGACAATCGTCACCAAAGATGCCCATCGTACACTCCACAGCAGGGTGAGAGCAGGCACATTGACTTGTGCGTGAATTGGTTTACGGTGGTATTAGACTTCCACAGCCTCTGCCGCACTCTCTCCTCCCCCCTCACATGGGCCCGGTGTCGGAACATAGTGAAGAAGGCCGGAGGTGGGAGACGGCGCAGGTGGCTGACGTGGGCGGGCCGCTCCTAGGTGCACAACTACATCCCCTGGTCCACAACAAACATTTGACCAGGATTTTAACCAACAACGAAGAGGGGGAGGCCGGCAGAGATCCCAATTGGCGCGACATTAACACCGCACCCCGAATGTTGGCATTTGTTATGGTGCACATTCCCGATAACGCCTGGCCCCCGTGTTTATCTGACACGTCTACCGCGTGGCTCGTTTCGTGGGCACTATATTGTACCTCTACTACTACTACTACTTCTACTATTACTACTACTACTTCTACCATTACTACTACCACTACTACTAACACACTGACGAAGTGCGGCGCTTCCATGGCTCTGCAAATGACCTACGGTGTGCGGTATGGAATAAACGATATTCCAAGTAAATTTATCAAAATAATACCTTTTGTTTGGACGACGAAGGGCACAGACCAGCAGGGTTCCGTCCTCACTTTTTATCATTTTCAGTCTGTTATAAACGTGGTGACAAATACTCCGTATGTTTGGGGCGAGGCGATGTAGTCGGTAAAACGATAGAACACTTTCGAGTCATCACAGATGGTCGTTGTGCACGGAAACTACTGGTACATTTCCTCAATCGCGTGACAACAACCGTCTGCTCCGATCGCTTCACTAACTTTCAGCAAGCTGTAATAGACGTCGCCCGCAGACGACCGCCAAACAGTGCCCATGACCTCTCTCGGGGGATGGATATCCGATTTTGATGTTTGTCTTAGGAACTCATTTCTTCTGCTCACTGACCAATATTCGTCGCGCGTTATGACACGATTCACAGATGGATCACTTCTGTCGCAGACACACAAACATCGAAATGTTGCATCTTCATTCAGTTCAAGCGACATTCAGTCATTGAGCTTCGATACGTATCGGATGACCTGCAACTGTTGGAAAGCTGCGTTACGGACTCGCAGAACGTTTTTCGGGGATTTGCTACAAGCATCGCTTTGAACTCCTCGTCATTTAGACCAGAAGCAGCTTGCTGTCCTCCATATTTTCGAGATTAGCTTCGCCACTGGCAGGCTTTTCGGAGCAACGTCTCACTGTCCGTTATTCAGTGGCATCCTAACTAAATACCGTGTTGATATTGTGTGTCGCTTCAGCCGCCTTATGGCTGACCCTTTGCTCATACAATTAAAATTTTCTCAAATCACGCCTCCTCATCTCGCAAAAACTGTGCAAATATCAGTAAGGCTATCTATGCGCCTTTATTTTTTAATTTTCAGTAGATTGAAGCAATGTTTTCCCGGAATAAATTTGAATGTACGAGCTGGAGTTAAATTCCTTGAGGGGACAAACATTTTCAGTCTTAATCCGAAAGTTGATATGAATGTCTGAGCCCATATATGTCATCTGCAGCTGGATAACTCCGTAGTATTCGCTGGCAAGTATTGAAGGATTCACCGTACGGACGGTGCAGGTACCAGCTAAATGCCCAGACACGTGTTTCGACGATTTTAAGGGGGCTTCGGCCCATCAGTGAGTCCCTCAGCCTTTTTCATGTGCCTTCTGGCATATACTCCAGTTTTCAATGTTGAGCTTTTTACCTAAGAATGTTCAGCACGGCGCATACCTACCGCTAATTCGGATGACTATTATTTCATTTTCAACACTATCCTCTACAACTGGGGGTGCCTGGGTCACAGTCCCACACTTCCTAACGAAGTCTACAATGTGCACCTTACTGACAACATTTTAGTAACATGTTATTTGGACTTTAACATTGTACTGCTGTTATCGATGGGGTCTTCAAAGGCATTGTCCATTGCCCTAAAATATACGGAACTATACCAAACTACTACAGAAAAAAAGCATGACCATCCCGTATGGTATAACCTAATACTTTTAACCCTACGACTTCTTCATGTTTTATTCACCACTTCCTTTTTTCACAGCTATTTAACATTCTTCTGTGAGCTTAGTCTGCCTAAGGCTTGTCCATACTGTTTGGCGAGAGGATGGGTCTGCGGGCCTGAGCATTACTCCTCCCCTGTCCCACTCTACTCCGTTTCCCTTCCACTGCAGCTCAGTGGCACAACCAAATCGTCAGCTTGGCGCCATGAAGACTGCAACAAAGAGCAGAGGCACTCTGGACAGCGATTCGCGAACCATGGCCTCCCGATACTACCGATCGCAGGCCCGCTACCTACCCGGATGTGCCCCGGCGATGTCCAACTCTGCGGCCACCAAGACCGCATCCAAGGCCATTCCTCTTCCCGACATGCAGCTGATTGAGGACCTGCTAAAGGTTCCGGAAGACAGTCTCCTTGGTGGAACTGTGCAAGGTAGGCCTCGTTATTCTCTTGTTATTTATGAGCCCCGGGTTTCACAACAATCCACGCCATGGCCGCGATCTTGAGGCCAACTCCACGTGCCTCGAACTAACTTGTATAGTGAGTAACTCAGGGTAAGAAGTTGGCGAAGTGTTTGGCAGGAAATTAGAATGAAACTGTGTGGCTTCATGTCTTGCATTGTCAAGTTGGACAAAAAGTTGAGCCAACGGACTAGTGTAGCTCACGAGCCCTTTGATATTATATTCCTATGCTTATTCGCAGCAATTGGTATCTTCTTTCTACCCCCTACTTAGTAACCTCCGTACGTGGCCGGCCTGCGCGATTTACTCAGCATCAAGCTGCTGCTCCCTGGGCCCCCGCGGGCAACAGCTCCCTCGGACTTACCCGAAGGCCTCGGAAACCAAATCCACTAAGCAAAAAGCCGCCGACTAAGGAATCCCCCTGTGAGTGCCTCCTGTCATCTACATCCCACTAGTCGTCTTGAATTTATCCTTCACTCGGCTAGTGCAGGGATGGGACGGAGAGAATGAGGCCGACACTGGGCAATCTGTATCGGCTAAGCGGTGGTGTATGCCCAGTACGCCACAACTTCAGGCCATGTCCCGAGTTGTAAGAAGCGGGACGCCAGTTGGGTAGAAGACTTTATTCTGTACAGAAGTATAGGGAAAAGTTGACCACCGGCCGAGGTTGCGTCCGCGTGAGCAACGAGCCGTGTGTCGCCGAAAGTCGTCGCTGCAAAAGTGTCGTGACAGATTGTTTACGCAGTGGTCTAGACTGTGTAACCAATCAGCGAGAGGAGTTGCGTTGATTGGCTCAGAGCCCACGCGAGGGTAGGGACAAGCCTTGCGTGGTGCAGGCAGAGAATCGACCAGATGCGTGGTGCAGGCAGTGAATTGCAACAAGACGAATCGAAGCCGGGCAGACGTGCGTGCCGTAGCAGGCTGTCGCTAGGGCGTAGGTGCTGGCGCTAGCAAGAGACGCGACGTTGCCACTATGGCTGTCCATCGTAAATCTCTACCCTACGGCAAATCAGTATTTTTGAGGGAAGACTGAGTCTGGCTTCACTGTCCTCTCCTTAATGTCGACCTTATAGCGCTCGCTGATGTGAGGTCCTGGCCTCCCATAAAGTAGTCTGGAACACGTAGCGTGCGCGTGGCACGCGTAGATGAGTTGCTCGACTTTGTCATCCGCTGCACCTGTGCCCACCTCCACTCGTGCCGACAGTGTCATGCCATTGGAGCCAGGTGGGTGAGAAAGAACAGAGTACGGTAGATCCTGCGCCCACTCAGCGGGAAACGCGGCGGACGTCGTCAAACTATCAGTTGTGGGAGGAGAAGGTGAGGTAGATGCAGCGCAGGTTTACTTCATCCACTTAAACTACGTGTGACTGGCGCCAGGCTGGACATTCGGAAGTTCTTCTTTTCAAACAGAGTGATCGAGGCTTGGAATGCTCTGCCTACAGATGTCGTCATGCCCACCTCCGTCGGGGCTTTTAAGCGCAAGCTGGACCGGTGTACCACTAAACGTCATAATGTCACCTGACCGACGTCTTAGTATTTCGTTAGAACAGTTTATTAATGTTGTTATATTACTGCCCGTATTTTAGTAACGTTTGTTTTTTATCATTGCCCCATGTCTGTTGAATGTGGATGTTAACATTCAGTTCGTCTCCCACAGAAACTGAGATAACACCAATTATCCATAGACAGGTCACTGTACAGCACATTTAGTAACGTTAATGTTTTTAACTCTCGGAACAATTCGTTTATCTGTCTGGTTTCGAAAACTTTGCCAATCTGAAGAAACTCTGTAGCTGTATGATGTTTCCATTTTCAAATTTTTGATATAGTTCGCTTCCTTGTAACAAATAGGGAGTTCAACGGTTCAGCACTTATATTTCCCGCAAATAAACTGAAACTAAATAGACAAGTCCACTCTAAAATCACCGCTGCAGAGCCAACCTCGTCGTCTGGCATGGCCGAACTATCGCGGCAAGTTATGCAACTGCGCTGTAACGGTCACTCCTAGGTTACAACATCACGTACAGAACAGCAGGGTGTGGTGTAATCTTGTGCCTGCCATGAGGTCCCCGATAAACGTATTATACTCAGTCACTCTTCCGAGCAAATGCGGCGAACTTTAGCCTGTGTATTTTTAGAGGGTCCTTACTGCACTGGGGTGAATAGATCTTACAGGGCATTACGCCGTCCTACAACTTCTGTTTAAAGACAGGACCAGTATTTCGTCAAATAGCGGCATCATCGTGCCCAGTATTTGGACTTATGGGTGTTTGTGGCATCGACTACTATGATTTTGATCCTTTTTCGTTTGCTTCGCACGATTGTAGTTCACCATCACGGCTTTTTTCTCCGCCTACAGCTTCTTGGTTTGCTGGTGTTGACAAGCTGAACGGCACAATCGCCACCCGGAAGACATCACACGTCGGCGAGACGAACCTGGCTCCATCAGCGCCCCTCTACAGCTTGGGGGTCACACCGACACGCCGTGTTCCCCCAACCGGCGCTGCTGGCTATTGCGGTAACCCGGGAACCACAATCACCAAGCCGGACTGGGCTGCCAAGTATGTCAGGAGCCTTTTCACCTGTCCATTCTCCAAAGCTCATTGGAGGCCTGTCGACCGACTTGAGCGAAATGTTATCTTACCTTCAGTAGCCAACAGTATCCTACCTTGTTCACATGGGAGGTGTGCCGTTTTGCCTTACACTCATTGATCTGTCTTACAGAGCGCCTGGCTCAGTCTCTGATCTTCCTGATCAACGAAATTGTTGGCTGATGATTGCGAATAAGCCAGAAACCGTCACTCCAGTCTGTTTGTCCCTATCGATTGCGCTTCCCAAGCCAATCTGGAACCAAAAAAGTCCTAGACTTGAGATCCAGTTAGTCCTTTTTTCCGCGTACTTCCGCGGGGACCCCAGACACACGGGGTGTAAATCTCCCCCAAGATTTTCCAGCTCGGTGTAGGCCACTTTACACACTGAAATGTGTCGAGACTTAAGAAACCTTAATCACTCGAAAACTGGCACGGATTAGTGAACTAAAACTCTTTATTAACAGTGAACGAATCTAGGCGAATTGAAAAGATAAAAGAGGTTACTAGAAGTGATTTCGTGTCGTTTTGAAGCATCACCTTTTTCAGAAGAGCAGCAGTTCTGAAAATTTCGAAAATCGTTGCAACAGAACTCCTTTCCGGCTGCATGCCAAGAAACTATACTCTATAAAACATGACTACTTATGTAGCGTGCATTTTTCTCACTGATTTTCAATGCACTTTCAAATCCAATTATATTTCATGGAAAGCATGCATAAAAATATCCAATTTATTACTCATTTCGTAGAAAATTACGTCTTCTTCCAATTTTAATCTCGAAGGAAGGGCATCATTTGGTCTTCAAAAACATTTCCGATTCCCGAATAATTTTGAACCCGACCTGCTGTTACACCCGCGTTCAGGAGTTCCAAACTATAAGCCGTATATTTTCCACGTACGGAAAACCATACATTCTCTCGGGTAGTAAGAGGAGACCATATGGGGCTCATAAAATTTAGCAGTGGATTTGAGCCATATTGTTAAATTTACAAGCCACATTGGTAAATGCAGAGGCATGACGTTTTATAAACGGCTATTCCACGGTCTTAAAGAATCTCACAATTAAAAACTTTTTAAAACCGAATTATACCCATCCTTCAAGTACAAGATTGGAAGACGACGTAATTTTCTGCCGAACAAGCAAAAGAGTGAATATTTTTATGCACGTTTACCATGAAATATAGTTAAATTTCTATGGGCATCAAAAATCAATGGAAAAATGTATTCTTCGTAGGTAGTTGTTTTTACGGAGCATAGTTTTTGCATGCAGCCGGAAAGAAGTTCTTTCGAAAGCCGGCTACCCGAGGTAATTAAATTATTATAGAATTATGCTGCACGTCAATCAACATTACAACCACACCTAAGTAGTCCTTCCTTATCGGTTACACATTTCGAATTTTGGTCAACACATCATCAGATGATCCAAGTACTGTAAGTTCTTTCTTTTCATACTGATTTTGCTGCGGTTTTTGATGTCTTCATGACCGTTTTCTGAGGGTCCTGGAAGTCCCACGTTTAAAGAGAATGGTTTCTTTCGATGTTTCGGATTTTGACATCCTTGTCGCCGGTCTGCAATGCGACAGTCGATGAGCTTCAACTCAGAATGGCATGACAAATGACTATGGTTTGTAAGCTTATGTCAGTCATAGTGGATAGATCAGCACCCCCGCCCACTTGCTACCGGAGCATGGTGGGTGAGGGAGGAGCGAGTGCGATAGATGCTGCGCAGGCCTACTCCGTGGGTGGACGTTGTCGTTTACGGCGGTCAGAAAAGTAATTTATACCTGTTACACTTGGGTACGACAGGTCGACCGTCGTCGCCGTCGATGTCCACCGTTTGCTCCACATCAAGTTGAGAGCAGGGACGGTGACTTGTGCGTCAATTAGTTTAAAGTGACGGCAGACTTGCGCTGCATCTATCGCACTCTGTCTTCCTCACCTCCCACCTGGCCTCGGTGTCAAGACAGGGTTAAGAAGACCGGAGGCGGGGGAGGGCGCAGGTGGATGGCGCGGTCGAGCCTCCACATTCCCTGGTCCACACAGAAAATGACAGAATTTTTAACCAACAACAAAAATAGGGGGCGGCAGGGTCCCAGTGCGCGCGACGTTTGTCTGCAACCGGGTCTGCCACCGCACCCCAAAATGTTGGCATTTGTTATGGTGCACAAACCCGATAACGCCTGCGAGAGTCCGATATGGCCTCCGTGTTGGTCCAACGCATCAACCACGTGGCCCGCTTTGGGGGCACCACACGTAGGTACAATCGGTCTAATACAGTCTCACCACCTGGTGTGCAATGAGACAGCAGTGAATCCGATTCAGCGTGATTTCTCCCCATGATGACTCAGTGGCGTTCTTGAACCTTCGCGATGTCCTACATTTGGGGCTTAAAGGACTGCAGGCAGGTAGAATAGCAGGTTCTAATGACTCTGGAAGCAATACCTACAAAATCAAGGGAGATTGAGATGACTATTTCTGACATATTAGGCATCGTCAGCCAGCCATGCAAAACCCAGGTCTGGGTAACCTGACACCCGAATCTGGTTTTTTTACCATCGAGCGCCAGCATTCCTACTGAGCGTGAGGTTGATGCTGCGCCGTAGTGAAACATTTCACCGCGCTCAGTTTAGTAAGCCTGATCTAAATCGACCGTTAAAATATAGACGCGTGATATTCCTCACGGCCGGTTGGAAACAACGACTCAGCCGTCTTCTTAGCGTATTCCATGCCAGTATTCACTGACGTAATGCGCCACTTCATTGCCTCTTCCCCGCCAGTCACGCCGTGGCAAGTTGGCGGTTTAACTCTTCGATAATCTTCTTCAGGCTGATAAACTCACACATCTTCACTCAATACACACATCATGAGTTCTCTGTCTGCTCCTTCAGGTACCTCAAGTCTTAGAGAAGTGTACGTCTGCAGATTCAGGTCTTTCCGTCCACCAGCACCGCCCCCTTCTCCTCTCCCCCGGCCATCTGTATACGTGCCTGCTCAATCATTTCAACTCCATGCCGACAACTACTACCTCGGAGTATTGTTTTTCCTGTGGCTGTGACCCCTGTCAGTGACTCTCGCCTCTCTTACCATATGCTGCTATCTGTTAGCTTCTGAGCCCTTCCATTAAATCCTTACCCTGCTCAGAGTCGACCTCCAACGCCTTCTTCTCCCTCCGCCTCCACAGTTTACCTCGAAGCCCACAATTTTTGCCCGTGTTCGTTCTCCAAGGCACAGAGAGCAAGGTGAGATGACCGGTGTGACCCGCACCGCCACCCCCAAAACCCACGAAGAAGAGGAGAGAGAGAGAGTGCAGAGTCGATGAAATGCCATGCAACGCGCCGCGACCCCAGTCCTGTCGTGTCTAGTTGACTTTGCCCCATCTGTAGGCTAGTTGTTTTTGCAGTTTTGTCCACTCCTCATGTCTCCCCTCTACCTCCTATATCACCAGTCAGTATGTTGGTGTCTCACATGTTGGGAAATTGAGGTCCGTACTACACGAACGGCTTCTTTTGGGCTCCAAATTCACCTATTTTCGGTTTATATAGGTTCTAATTACGATAACAGTAACGACAATAAAGTAGCTAATTTCGCAGCCTCTCGGTCTTCGAGCTGTGTCTGTGTGTCCTGCTGCCTCCCTCATGCGTTTAACGGAGGACGGAGGCCACATTGACGGCCTGCTATCCGTTAGCCGGGCGTCACTGGGTATGCTTGAGTCGTTGAGGCATATTCAGAGCTCGGCTTCTCGCTGTAATCAACTAAACACGCCTTGCATCTGTCAAGACTTGCCAATACTTGTAGCTTGAAAGGCTGCCACCTTACTGAGAGGCAGACTACAGGGGCTCCTTAATGTGACCCCTGTGACACTCAAAGCCGTTAGCTCGTGTGTGGTACGCGTAGACGAGTTGCTTTTAGATTTGCTAGCCACTGTACCCACTCTAATCACCAGCTGTTTCGATGATTTTGTGCCACCGAAGTAGAGAGGAAGCGTGAGAAGAATAGAGCGATGTAGGTGCGTCACAAGTCCGTGTCACCTTGACTCATCTCATACGGAAGTCACGGCTGCGCACACCTCTTGCAGCAGACGTGAACCTCGTCGCTTGCAACTGCCCAGCTACTGTTTTTTGGGTTCATTAAGACACTATTTATGTGGGAAGAGTGAGCGTGAGGCAGAAGACGCGCCGAAGGGGTCTCTGCTCACTACATAACAATGTCGGACCACCGGTTTCAAACCGAACCGGGTCGGCTATGGTGTGCACCTTGTTAGTTTGGGGAGAGGGGATGAGGTGTAGTGTTCGTAAGTCCCCTACAACACTCCCCGCCTCTTCAGGCAGTAGTGGCTGTCATCGCACAGTAAACCTACCGGCGGCCTTTTTGAAGTGGTTCCAAATGCTGTCAGCTATCTGAGACTGGTGACAGCGGTCAACAGATAGCGGATCTTTGCCTTTATCCTTTTTGTGTTCCTATCTTCCTAAGCATGCTTCTGGTCTCCATTCCTGTGTGTATTCACTGCATGTGAAATATACTATTTCTGCCTGTAACTGTCGCCCCTTTTTGTCTGTTTGTGTGGTGTGTCTTTTAATTGGCATGCTCTTAATCTCAGGAGAGCAGCATCATTAGGTTGTAGTTTGTTCGCATCCGTTTTGACGGGGGAGACAGTCCGATTGCATCCGCACAATGAGTAGACTCCTCTGGAAAGTGTTCTCAACCGACTCAGTTACCGTAGCGTCGATGGAACCTGCCAGATGATGCGACTCTGGTGTAGCCGATAAAGAACCGGTCCACCGTGACGCGCTTTGAGCGTCCTTCTTTCGTCACTGCTAGTTGACAGGCGTCTGTGGTTGCGACCTCCCATTCGTGCAAGCGCATTTTATGACATCTGACTGGCAGGAGGTCCCCTATATGCTCGTCTGGTTTCAGACCGCAGGGGTGTTTGAAAGTACATAATTCGATTTGAAAGATCGTAACTCACCTAACATTCGGTTTTCCGCTTAGGTTCACACCTTGCGCGGAAATTTATAGAACATAGGTAGGTGCTCTGGCTAGTTTTATTAGTTTATCTGACCTACTTGTGGAAATCTCAGTGGGATTCAAACCCACCACAGCAAGGACAAGGTTAGAGCGCAACTAACGCCCTAACCTACCTGACTTACGAGGTTCTGACTGATAATCTTGTATTTTATCACGTTTGGGTCGAGTTGTCGGCCCAACCTACTGCAACATGTGGAATTCACCTATTCTAGTTCAGTTGGCTGACTGCCCATGCAAGATTTCCTGAGTTGCTGTCGTGGGTTCCAACACGGCTGAGGCCGCTGAGCTTTTCAGAATTGGGTTAGCCGAGTTATGAAACATTGTGTGAACTCCTTACGGCAACGGTATGGAGAAGGACCCCACTTTACTGTCGGCGGACTGTGGATCGTGTCATACGTGGGTGGTGATAAGGAGAGTTTTACGGATGGGGCAGCACACTAGACAGTAAGGTGACGAAATGCAGGAAAGCACAGAAATCGTTTAGATTTCTCCTGAAAGACTCATCGTACGCTTTCGTACGACAACGGAAATGAGTGCGGTAGTCAAAAATAAACAGAGGGTAAATTTCAAGAAATAAAGGAGTTTGAGTGATGGTCTGAAGTCATTGGAAGTGATTGTTACTGGAAGTGTAATGTCTGCAAAGGCTTGCGAATGGATGTCAAGATAAAATCCCCTACGACGTGATGCACAGTCTGCTGTCAACAAAGTGGGGTCCCTCTCCATACCGTTGCCTCCTCACAGACGATCTCGGAGTCGAAAGTATCATACTGATTGGCATGTAGCATGTTCTCACTCGCGGTAGCACGTTGCCCTAAGTTCCGAATTCCTCCAGACACCTGTGTAATTCATGTTGAAAAAAATTTGTTGTTTAATTCCTGTGTCTTTCTCAGTTGCTCCTTGCTTTTTGTGTAAATCGCATTTCCCTGGATTGACACACGAAACTTCATCTGCTCTGTTCGGCTCTTGGTAAAATCTGCCTCAGGTGTTTTTGGCCTGGTGATATGTAGGTTGATTAATCAGGAAAACCTGTCTGGGTGGTCAGCCTACGGAATTATGATTGATGAATTATCGGTACAAACGAAAATGAGAGCTCCAGGCAGCAGTCGGTAATAGGAAGGCAAACTAACTACTATATAATGTTTCAGTAGGGGACCTTTTCCAAGGAACATTTTCACAGTGGCTGGGACTCGACTCTAAAGAGGCAGCATGTACATTTACTGGAGGTTATGTGGAAACAAAGCGCGTCGGAAGTCAAATTTAGGTATTTTTGCTAACAAACGAGGAGCCTTACCTGCAAGACTTGGGCGACACTGACGGCATTTTAGTGACCGTCATCATCCACGCCTGCCACGCCCGAGGTCTGCAGCTCAGCTGGTTGGTCAAAGGGTAACGCTCTCACAACTGCACTGCGGGACCACTTGTCTTATGAGAACCGGAATGGTCGATCAGTGATATGCACAAATTTGCCTTCATTTGTGAACAGAAATTGACATTTCAGTCATTATTTCCACGACTTAGACACTTGCGTGTAACCAGTAGGTACATTCCTACTTTCCCTCAAATACACTGAACTGAACTTGGGCAGCATACCGGCTACACGGGTTCACGCACCCCCATCATCACTGCTCTGTCATATGCCTACCTGCGCATACTGCGGGGTGAATGGTGAAGTGCTTTTGGCTCTCCGGTTTGTTGACAGTGTGAAGTAGCGAAAAGGATCCCCTTAAAATAATACCGATCGACCGGAGTGAAAGGACAGCTGAATCCTCATGACTTCCGGATTGCCTCGTCTTTAAGAATGTGTTGCTCGTCGCAGTATTCCATGCTCTCATAAAGGCTATATCGACCGCGCTTTCATCCGTACCTAAAAACTGAAGGCTGACGGAGCCACTTGCCATCGTCATGTTTTCGCAAGCCGCACACTGGGCACTCTTGTTTGGGGCTTTGTAGTCCTCATCGGGTATCTCAGACCTGGATTTATGATGGTGACAAACAAACTAATGTCATACCCTGGGAGCGAAGCGCACCTCCCAGACGTCAGGATTCACAAAGATGATCAACCATCCAGCCCTCCGTCACGAACATAACAAAAACAACCTTTACTTTGATGTGACTGTATTTGCTCATAAATGAGTCCTCTCTGGAATCAGCAAGAAATCGCGAATCCTACAGTTGGGGAGGAGGAGTAAGCAGGCTTTAGTAGTTGACCGCCGAATGTAACTTTTCAACTCGCACACCAATGTTGAGCTAACGTTGCACCTTTGTTGACAGCCCACAGTGACCTCACGTTCTTTTGTGCTCTTAAGTCCAAATTTCCCCGTCTTTTTTAGGTATGGCCGATGGAGACTTCAATCCCTCCGAGGTGGGTCAGATCGTCAGTTGCACTCTAGTTAAAAGCCCCAAGTAATCCTAGTCCACATTGGTTGTTTGCTTTCATTTGCCGTCAAGTCTAAGACTGTATTGATGACCGGCTGGTTTAAAAGGCGAATAGCAGTCCCCATCTTCTTTTAAGTCCATTGTTTCAGGCTTTTGGTTTACCCCCTTTTGGATTTCGCGGCGTCTCATCACCATTAATTTTCACCAGTTATCCAACTGATGTACTAGTACCCATTTTTCCTCTAGTTGTTCGGTGATCTTGAAGAGCAGGAGGCCAACCCTGGTGATCAAGAGAAACGGCTCTTCCTAAAAGACAGTAAGTCCGCCAATTCAACTATATGTTTGGGTGGGTGAGGCGTTCCATGGCCACTACGCCGATGGTGCTCATGGTGACATTATATATATATATATATATATATATATATATATATATTGAAACGTAGGCATCCCGAGAAATATAAGTTGACGTAAAAGGCGTTCTTTGGGAAAATGAACTTTATTGC